TGCCTTTAAGATAACGGACCACTCGAAGTGCCACGTGCCAGTGATCCAACCGTGGAGCCTGCATAAATTGAGAAAGAATATGAACGACATAGGCCACGTCAGGATGAGTGAAAGAGAGATAGATAAGACGTCCGACAAGTCGCGTATATGGTTCTGGATCAGCTAAGGGTTCTCCACTAGCAAGAGCCAAACCGTGATGTTGTTCCATAGGGAAGGATGTAGGTTTAACACCAAGAAGTCCGGCCTCAGATATTATGTCCAGCGTATACTTGCGCTGACATAAATGAATACCCTCTGCGTTGCGTGCTACTACCTCAACACCGAGAAAGTATTTGAGAGAACCCAAATATTTCATATGAAAACAAGTATGCAAGTAGTGTTTGAAAATGGAATAGCCCCGGAGTCATTTCCTGCAATAATCAAATCATCGACATAAACAAGAACATGCAAGTGAACATCATCTCGACGTAGAGTATAATGAATAATCGGAGTATGACTGAATGAAGCCATAACTTCGAAGAGAACCAGCAAGTTTCGCAAACCAACACCGGGGAGCCGGACGCAAGCCATAAAGAGATTTTCTGAGACGACAAACAAGGCCAGGCTGAGAGGGCCAAAACCAGGTGGAAGTTTCATATAGACTTCCTCACGTAGATCTCCGTGAAGAAAGGCGTGTACATCCATTTGATGCAATTCCCAATTCCGTGCCGCAGCGACCGCCAAAAGAACTCGGACAGTAACCATCTTTGCAACGGGAGCAAACGTCTCTGTATAGTCAATACCTTCCTCCTCATGGTTTCCAAATATAACAAGTCTAGCTTTAAGACGTTCCACTGAACCATCAGAGTTATATTTAATTTTATAGACCCACTTGCACCCGAGAGCCCTTTTGCAGGGGGCAGTCGCTGCATGTCCCATGTATGATTATCCTCGAGTGCCTTAATTTCAGATTTCATGGCATTACGCCATCCAGAATCAGTCATTGCTTCCCTGAAAGAGCGGGGCTCCATCCCTGCAGTAATAGCACCAAGGAACGCACGATGGCGTGCAGAAAACTTATCACATGTTACAAAGTGAGCTATGTGATAGGACGTACCTGAGGAACTGAGAGTGCCTGATGAAGACGGAGATGGGCTCATATGCTTCACATGGTGGGTCACAAAATCCCGAAGCAAAACCGATGTACGCTTCTCACGTAAACTGCGGCCAAGAGAAATGCTAGTCTCGGTGGGCTGCTTGGTATCAACAACGGAGGATGCTGTCTCGACAGTAGGAGTATTCGGTCCTGCCGTGGGTATAACACGAACTGGTGGTGTGTTGATGGGATCATCAAGCAAAGGAGCCGTAGGAGCCACATCACAGGTATATGGTCTATTAGCAATCTCAGAAAAGGGAACTCGCTTTCATGAAATTGAACATCTCGAGAAACAAAGATATCACCTGTATCCATATCATACATTTTCCAACCCTTCTTCCCATGAGGATACCCAACGAAAACACATTTTTTACTACGAGGTGCAAATTTATCGCTCTTAGATTTGTGATCATAGGCAAAACACAGACATCCGAACACTTTTAAATGAGAGTAATTCGGAGCATGACCTGTCAATACCTCATAAGGTGTCTTCCCCCAAAGCCAACCTCATGGTGTACGATTAATAACATGAACTGCACTTAAAACACATTCACCCCACAAAAAATGGAATATCAACCTGAAACATGAGAGCACGCGCCACATTTAAAACATGTCGATGTTTGCGCTCTACTCTCCCATTTTGTTGGGGTGTGTGTACGCATGAGGTCTGGAAAAGAATTCCATTAGTCTCAAAATAAGAAATCAAACACCGGAATTCGGTACCATTGTCACTTTGGACTATTTTCACAGGCCGATTAAATTGTTTCTCAATCATAGCTAGGAAAGAAATAAAACTGGGGTAAACCTCTTTTTTTTCACGCAGCAAATAAACCCAGACAGCACGAGAAAAATCATCAACCAAAGTTAAAAAATAAACAGCATCACACGTCGAAGGGGTTTTGTAAGACCCGCATAAATCACAATGAATCAATTCCATAATAGCACTAGCTTTATTTTCACTACTAGGAAATGAATCACGAACATGTCTGGCTTGTGGAAAAACCTCACAAGCTTTATTAAGTTTCTTAGCTGAAGAATTAGCTTTAATAGCAGGAAGTAACTTAATGACACGATCTGAAGGGTGACCTAGCCGACGATGCCACAATTCAAACTCTGTCAAAGGTTTCACAGTAACAGCATGCACTGTAGACGTTCCGCGAAAGTAAAAGAGCCCATCCCGTCGTTCACCGACTCCAATCAAGTTTCTCGAGTGTAGGTCCTGTATAGCACACATTGAGTCAATAAAAGTAACAACACATTTCAACTGATTAGTCAACTGCGAAATAGAGATAAGATGTCATCATAATCCTGGGACATATAAGACATGATCAAGGGCAAACTATTTGGAAATGGACACACGCCCTTCCAAACTTGCGATAACAATTCGACCATCTGGCAGCCCAACCGAGCATTCCCGAATGGGTGTAATTTCGGTGAGCCTAGAATATTCTCCGATGACGTGATGAGTTGCCCCGGTATCGAGTATCCAATCAAAAGAAATATTCTTACCCATCATGCATTCATTGGAACTGGGTTCGGGATGAAGAATATTCAAAATAGCCTGCACCTGTTCCTTGTTCAATCCCCGTAGACTGTCACCGTCAAGGTTCCAACCGCTGCTGCCCGTGTCAGTTGAAGCCAAAGCAGGTGCCACTGCATGCGCACGAACCCCCCTTCACGCGCAGGTGTTCCAGTATTTGCTTTGTTCTTGTTTCGGTCTTCCCACCACTCGGGGTAGCCATGAAGTTTGAAACAATTTCCCACTTCATGGCCACGTTGTTTGCAATGTGTACACAGGAGCTTCTTCCGTTCTTGACTATCTGGTCATAACTTTGGCGGTTCAACCTGCAAAGCAAAAGCCTAGTTATTTGCTGCCACGGTTTTCCCACGAGCCACAGCCCGAGACCGTTCTTCTTGAAGGAAACTTTGGTGCGTGCGGTTGATGTCTGGCAGTGGGTTTTGGGACAGCAAGTTAGATCGAACCATTCCATACACCTCGTCATCAATTCCAATAAAAAACTGGTGGAATTGTTCCTCCTCCCTATCGGCGGCGAATTTTCCCACCACATTGCATGTGCACAAACCGCATGTACACACGTGAAGTGGTTTCAACCGGTAAAACTCGTCATATAATCCCATCAGCTTGGTGAAGTACTCATCAACGGACATGGACTTGACCTGTCTATAGTCAGCAATCGAAGCCTTGAGTTGCTGCAGTCTCGGTCCGTTAGCCTCGCTAAACCGCTTCTTAAGATATGTCCATAATGAATTGGCTTCATCATGGAATGGAATAGAGACAACTATGGAGGGATCCATGCTACGAAGAAGCCAAGAAACGACCATCGATTTGACCGTCTCCCAGTCTGATAACTTGGCCGCCTCTGTCGGCTTGGTGATAGTTCTGTCAATAAACCCGTATTTCCGGCGGGCTTTCAAAGACAACGCAATTGCTCTAGACCAATTAACGTAATTGTCTCCTTTCAAAATGATATGGGTAATGAGATTTCCGGGCTGATCGCCGGATCCCAGAAAATAAGGTGAGTTTGGTTCCAATCTTGCCACTGCTACATATCCCATGGCGCCGAGCTAAACACGCTGGTGCTGCTCGTTCGAAGGAAGAAGACACAGGTCTGCGAAGTTATACGTGCGGTGTTATTTTAGGATGGCTCTGATACCATATTAAATATAGAATGAAATAATATGGTAAACTGATTTCTCTGCCTTTCATTCGTATGAACTGGGATATATATACATGTTAAGTATGATGTGAGCCCTATGTTGTACGACCTAGTAAACTAAAAATAGATTACAATATTATCAATTAATATAAACATAAAACCATAAAAGGCCCACAATGATCCAACACATATATTAGACCTTACCGCTTACAAGCAACAATAATATTGATCAAGTAATATACACCATCATATATTAAACAGATCCGTCTTAATTGTAAATTTATCTTTAAATACTACTGAAATAAATATATTTTCAGGCTGATTGGAAATCATTCAAAATTAGGGAATCATTCAAAATATGTTAGGAAATCATGATAATAATCTGGGAGTTTGTAAAATTACCTTGGGGTTCCTAAAAAAATACAATGTGAATTATGAAATATTTTTCATCTCAAAAAATATTTCCTGTATAAGAATTATGAAATATACAAAAAACAAATCTTATTATTACTTTTGTAAAATGCCTAATAATGGATTTCGATATTAATTGAGGAAAATGTATTTTTTGTCGGGTAAACTAAGATGAATTGAATTAGAGTGACTAGGCGCAGAAAATGTGCAGATATATTTTTCTTTGTGCACAGAATTTTTGGTATGGGCTAAACGTGTGATGGGCAAATTCAGGTCATGTGTGCGGATGTAAAATTTGCACATCACCATATCTACTAGCGAAATCGTGATGTTTATTTACTCTAAAATCTAAATAATTACAGTCACTGGTGATAGACACTAAAGTGAATTGTAAGTGGTTACTTTTTATTGCCTAAACAATGGTTTAGATATATTAGGGTATGAGTAGTTGTGTGAGTGCACTCTTCTTTGTCTAAAAATTTGATTTTGACATTGTCGGATAATATAAATATAACACTCCATTAGAGATCATTGAACACAAGGTTAGACATACCTTTAGCTATTGTTCGTATGTATGGTGTCAAGCTCTCATTTATCCCAAGCCTACATAGGTGTGAGCAAAGTTGAGGTCATGCTTTAACTGTTCGAAAACCGTATCATTTACACACACATATAGGAAGTATCTAATGAATATAGATTTTTTATTACGGACTATATATTTATTTACAAATTATTACAAATAATTTGCAGCAAATAAAATCTCAACAGTAGGAGGGAGGAGGTTCATAACTACTCCATTCTCACATTCCTCCCAGTGTTTTATTCATTTGCTTTCTTTAAAATTCTGTCGCTGTTATTGGATCGGTTGAAGATTAAGATCAGAAGAACATGGTTGAGACACGAAGAAGCACCTCTTCCTCCAAACGCCCCCTGTCATCTCGGTCCTCACCTCTGCCCCATGGAAAACGATCCAAGGTTTGTATTTGAATTCTTCCAGGTTTCCAATCGAGTCAAAGAGATGTTTTTGAGTTCCGCATATCTGCATGCCTGAGTGTACATGCAGATATGCGCTATAGAGAGGCTCTTGGATTCTTGGGATTTTTATCTAACTGATTGGCTTTGTAGGCCGGGGAGGCGTCTTCATCAACTAATGACACGATTGGGGAGAAATCGCCTCTCGTTGCGAATGAATCAGGTCCTGAATCGGATGGGAGAGAGGTTAGACCGGCGGAAGCTAATCTTCCGAAATCAGCTGAAGCTGCCGAGCCTGAGAAATTGCCGGAGGCTCCAACACGAGGTCAGCCTCTGGTTTATGAATTGTTATGACTATGTGGCAATCTTTTTTCGTTTTCCCATTCAACCGTTGTGTTTCTTTATGAAATGTGCTGCCTGTTTTGAGGAATTTGTTGGTTTCACTTTCTTTTTGTACTGGCGGTGGACTATAAGGTGGTTCTGAGATTGATGCGGAGAAGGTGAAGTCAACCGTGTCTACATTAGTTCGGGGAAGGAATCGGCAACTACCCCCTAATGGAGGAGCCGCATGGGGGAAGCTTCTTTCTCAGTCCTCTCAAGTAAGCTCCCTTTGCTCTCTTATTTCCTTAATCCAATTCTAATTGACGTTAACATATTTTGATAATATTCCTTTCAGACTCCTCATGTTGTCATGCACCAACTCTCTTTTACTATTGGTGGAGGCCAGCATTGTGACTTGTGGGTGGAAGATGCATCAATTAGTAAATCTTTATGCAACCTAAAGCACTATGTGACAAAGGCATATCACTACCTCCTGTAGATTTATTTAATAAAATAAACAATTTCCCATTTCTGTGCCATCATCAACTATTTGTATTTCCGACACGATTTCAACCGCCTTTTTGTTGTTATTTCATAAACCACCACTCCTAGATCGTGCTTATGCGCTTTATGTTTTGCACGTTGCACACAGAGAGGTACTTCATACACTTTACTTGTGGTAAATGGGAAAAGGGGTTCTGTGCAAGTAAATGGAAAGATATGTCAGAAGAACTCTACTATGCCATTAAATGGAGGCGACGAAGTTATTTTTGGCTCATTGGGCAAGCATGCTTATGTATCCTTTAATAATGTCAATGTCACACACCCTTGGTGATCGTTGAATTTTAATTTACTTGTTTTGTGTCATAAAAGGTTATTCGCGGCTTATAGTCTGTGGAAACACCTATTTCCATTTTAGGGAATGTAATATCCTTAACACACTTCTTTAGATTTTCCAAGAACTTGGGAAAGAAAACGCATCAGCTGCAACCATACCACATACAGTGAGCATATTAGAAGCCAACAGTGGGCCGTTCAAAGGAGTTCGTTTTGAGGAAAGAGCAGGGGAACATTCTACTGTAGCGGTTGCATCTACCTTAGCTTCATTAGCAACTCTTAAGAAGGAGTTATCGCTTCTTCCCCCATCACTCCATACTAAGAACATAGATTTAAAAGAAACAGCAGAATTGCCAATACTACCAGCATCTGGTGGTGCAGTGTTTGATAAAGATGACACAGTTGCCAGTATGAAGGATGCTTCTGATCATAATGATGTATCTCTTGTTGAGAAGGCTGATACTGTGACTCCTGATTCTAGCAATGACAACTTGAATCTCGAGAATGATGCGCTAGATTGCATTGATGCTGAAATTGTAAAGGCGCCTGGGGCGCCTGGAGATTTGAGCCCACTGTTACGAATATTTCCCGAGTTTGCATTAAGAGACAGCATATCTAGAATCCCTTATGGACAAAGAGGAACAAAAGAAACTAAGGATATTGATCCTTCAGTTTTGATGTCAGCTAGGCGTAATGAATTTAAACACGGGCTTCAGCAAGCAGTGCTTAGTTCTGAGAATATTGAGATCTCGTTCGAAAATTTCCCATATTATCTGAGGTATAAATATCAGTTCTACTTACCTTGTTCGTTTTAGTATTGTAGAAGTAACTTGCATGATTTCTGCTACTTACCTTGTTAAGTAATTCCAAAAGCTGATGGAGAGCTAGGAATCCCTGTTCAGTTTGGCCATCTCACTCTCGCAATTTGAAACCAATTTGGCCCACTAAAAATTTTGGGCTCTAAATATTTTGTCGTCTCATTCTTTTAATTCATGATGAAGACTAAATAAACCCACCCGCACATTTAACATAAGTGTAAGGAGGTTCTATCATTAAGGTTTCTTTATACAGAAGGCTCAACTCCCTCACCCTGAAGCACTTTGTGAATTAATTTATAATACATCGATAGAGATCATGAATGTTTTCATAGTCGCACATCCAGTAGTTCATATATATCAGCATATTCCTGCACAAATGCATAACTCTAGACTTGCTGTCTTTCTAATCTCATTTCTTCATGTTTTGCATATTGAAATTTGAACAGTGAAACAACGAAGAGTGTACTGATTGCTTCAACTTACATAAATTTGAAGTGCAACAGACATGCAAAGTATGCCTCTGATCTCCCCACATTGTGCCCAAAGATTTTGTTATCAGGCCCTGCAGGTAGTTCTTCTTTGAAATAAGGAAATAAATATGACTAGTCCAAACATAATAGATGAAGGGGGTGTTTGGATCTACTTCTTAAAAGTGCTTCTGCTTCGTCAGGGAGCAGAATCAGTTATTGGAGTGTTTGGGTTACGATGCAGAAGTACTTCTGGGTGCTCCAAATTACTTCTGGGTTACGATGCAGAAGTACTTCTGGAAGCAGCTTTTTAGAAGCCGGGGGAGACCAACTTCTGAAAAATTGATTCTGACCCTGCTTCTACTTTTAAAAATGAAGCAGTAGCAGAATCAATTTCAAACACCCCCGAAAACAGCATCTTTTTAACAAGTGTGACTAGTTTACCAATAAGTCTCACTTGTTACCTTTCAATGACCTATTTTTTCTGTGCAACGGCCAAATTATTTTGTACAAATATTGACTTATTTACCTATGAAAGTACCTTCTAGCTTTCAAAGACCTATTCTTTTGCACTCGCTCATTTACGTAGTTACCCTAACTCATTATGATGGGAGCAAATGAATTTCAGTCTTATGGCTGTTCATTTCATAAGTTCAGTTACCCATTTCATTACATAGTGAGCAATCCATTTCATTTTCTAGTTACCACCAAGAGTTGATGTTCCAAACCCCAAAGTTTGTGTGATAACCACCACCGTCTGCCAAACCCAGACACTCAACTTGCCCTGTGGGTTATTTCACTACCATTTTTGTATACATAAACTAGTCATACTTAGGCTGTTAGGCCTTAGGCCCTTCTTATTTTGTTCCTTTCAATCACTTTCGGTATGATCCATCACCATTACCATGTTTTTGAATGGATTTTAGGCTCTGAAATATATCAAGAGGCATTGACCAAGGCACTTGCTAAGTATTTTGATGCAAGACTTCTAATAGTGGATTCTCTTCTATTACCTGGTGTAAGGCTTTTTCTATTTGTCTTGTTTTCTTACTATTTTATTATTTATGTTTTTGTCATGTTATTTAGTTGCTTCAGCTTATATCTTGAAAAACTATATCAGGGGTCACTAGCAAAAGAAGCTGTTGCTAGCAAAGAAAAATCAAAACTTGATTGGGCTCGTTATGTTATTAAACGAGCTGCGCAGGCAGCTGCACTACACCTAAATAAGAAGCCAACTTCAAGTATTGAGGCTGATATAGCAGGTGGGTCGACCGTAAGCTCTTATGCTCAGCCTAAGCAGGAAGTGTCTACCGCCTCATCAAAGAACTACACATTCAAGCAAGGTACCTTGCAATTTCCCTGATGGAATATTTGATGATTTTGTCCTTCTTTGATATCACTGTCTGACTCAAGATGCAGATAATATCCTTCGTGTTGGGTAAATTATTCAAACTAATGATAACATGTTCATATTCTTGTGACACGTTTCATCTTGGCAGGTGATAGAGTGAAGTATGTTGGCTCTTTACCAACAGGGTTCAGCCCCGTGCAATCTCCTATAAGGTAAACTGCTTGATGATGGATTTGGAATTTATCTGAGTAAGTGATTTAATGATAATGATTTCATTTTTAACAACATTTTAGTTAGCCTGTATTCTCCTTGATGACACCTCTAATCTTTGTGTTATTGGCCTGCAGCATACTTATTGGTTTAACCAGTAATTTGCAGTAAAGACAATGATTGCATATTATATCACTCCATTGATCTCTGTTAATTGGGTTCTCCAAGAGTGACAAAATATTTAATGGCAATTGAGTTTAAGAATAGTTGTTGCAGGTTGCACGTGTAGGAACGATCTTTTTTAACTGGTGGAATTGTGCTCTATGTTTTCTAACCGCCGAGTACTCGCTACTCGGGGTAGGGCCTTGCCAATTAGTACTCTGACTCACACTATTCCATTTTTCCGACTAACTCGCCGAGTACTCGGCGATTTCTCTATTCGGTGACAAGGTTGACTCGCAAAGTTACTCGGTAGCTAGTAAATTGATTTTTTTGGGATTAAATCTGAAGATTTTAAACTAAATTAGGATAATATGGAATTTATGAATAATCAGTAGGTATTTTAAAAATTGGAAAAATAAAATTACAAAGTCGGTCTAGGTTCGGGGACATGAAGGATGAAGAAGAAAGTGACAAACGTTGAGGTCAATGAAGATTAGTTTTGGACAAAAGTTCAGAGTTAAGTATTATTAGGTGATTGATTTTATTGGAAGTTTGAATGTTTATGATTGTTGGGATTTGTTGCTACTTCATGTTAGGATGATTATTATTTTATTCATATTTAAGAACTATAAGAATAATATGTGTTACTACCTCCGTCCCGGACTCCCGGTGGACTTTGCCAACCGTAAAGTAGGTGATAAATAAGAATAGTAAAAACTGTGTGATTGAGATTTGTGCAGAGGTGAGAGGAGCGTGCAGAACCACAAATTGGTTGCTTTAATAGGAAAGTGGCAAAGTTTTTTGGGACAACCAAAAAAGGAAAGTTGTCAAAGTCCAATGGGACGGAGGAAGTATATTACTAGAATTTTGAGGAATTTATGTTTTTAAATTTAATTAATTTTAAAGTATTTGTCCCACGCCGGAAAGCTATAAAACAATAAAACACTATATAAGACTTTGAGTTACTTCTTCTATCAGGTTGACCTTTTAGGATAGAACCATGAGTCTTAACATCGTGTCAGAGCCAAGTCCGGTTGTGGTTTGACTGTTTGTTTAGCACCATGATTAAGATAGCTTTTAATGATTTGTTTGGCCCATTTATGCACTCCAATATTGTCCAGCCCGATTCGGGTTGAGGGAGTGTGTTAAAGCATTTATCCCACACCAGAAAGCTATAAGATAATAAAATACTACTACCTCTGTCCCAATTTGTTTTGCAAAGTCAACATTTTTTGGTCAACCAATGTTAAAAGTTAAACACTCCATATGCATAAATAATTCAATTTTAATAACTAAATTTACATATTCAGAAACTACATTAAAATCTCTATAAAGTTGCAAGATCCAAATTAAAATTTATTTAAGAATTGATACCCTAATTAAGTGATTAAAATGAAACTGTTTGACCCAAAAAGTCAAATTTTGCAAGTCAAATTGGGACCGAGGGAGTATATAAGATTTTGGGTTACTCCTTCTATAAGGTTTTTTAGGATAAAACACCGGGTCTTAACATGGTATCAGGGTCAAGTTCAGTTGTGGTTTGGCTGCTTGTTTAGCACCTATGATTAAAGGTAGCTCGTCAAGGGTCTGTTTGACCCATTTATACACCTAGATATTGTCCAGCCCGGTTTGGGCTGAGAGGGCTTGTTAAAGTATTTGTCCCACACCGGAAAACTATATAACAATAAAACACTATATAAGGCTTTGAGCTCCTCCTCCTATCAGGGTTGTCCTTTTAGAATGGAACCTGAGTCTTAACAATTAATACAATGCTGAATAATAACACAGTTGTCCCAATAATCAGCCCTACTTAGTAGGACCTTGACTGGGTTGCCACCGAGTAGCGATTTAACTACGTAGATTGTGCTAGTTGTTATTTTCTCATCATTGCTGAAGCTCCTCTGTTGATGTTTTAGGGTGCTACTGGACAATTATGTAGTAATATTAGGATTCTTATCTACTATGTCTATGTGTTTAGGGGTCCAATGTATGGTTACAAAGGCAAAGTGGTTCTTGCATTTGAGGATAATGGTTCATCAAAGATAGGAGTTAGATTTGATCGGTCAATTCCAGAAGGGAACGATCTCGGTGGTCTTTGTGAGGAGGATCATGGCTTCTTTTGTGCTGGTACATTTATCATTTATGTGCTAAGATTGACCTCATGTATTTTTCTTCTTTAGTTTGTACTTAGTATTACTATCAGCGTTCTTGATGCACTTCTTTGGTTTTCTGAAGCGGATTTGCTTCGCCTTGATAGTTTTGCTGTGGATGACATTGATAAACTTGTTATTAATGAGCTTTTTGAGGTACGCACAAGTTTTCCTAGTTCTTCGTCATAGCAGATTAATATCTGCCATGTTTCTTATGTTAGAAAAGGTCTTCCATTGATAATGACACAATTTGCGATTTCCTGCAGGTTGTCTCCAATGAAAGTAAAAATGGTCCACTGGTCGTGTTTATCAAAGACATAGAGAAGTGGGTGGTAGGAAATTCTGAGACATGTACATCCCTGAAGGTTAAACTTGATAGCTTTCCTGAGAATGTCGTTGTGATAGCATCCCATACTCAGCCAGACAACCAAAAAGAGAAGGTACCTAGGTGTAATGAGTTATTTTATTATAATATACATAGTATAATATACCCCGTATGGTATGATTATGTATTTGGTTTAGTTAATTTGAATCTATTATGGCCAGTCTCATCCTGGTGGACTGTTGTTTACGAAGCTGGGAAGCAACCAAACAGCATTACTTGATCTTGCCTTGCCGGTATGATTTTTTTCTTTTGGGTGAGGTGGGTCGTTTTCAATGGGGTGCATTCGTTTGCTTCTCCTTCAATTTTTACTGTTTTATATTTGGAAGAGCATGGAAAATAATGCTCTTATTGCCTTTGCTGCACTGATGTGCACAGATTTAATTTCAAGTGTTAGTACAAATTTGCTCACCACTCAGGAATTTTGTTGATATCATATATGAAAGTAGCATCACCAATGATATTCTTGATTTCCCCCTGTAATGTAGGACTTTGGGAGATTGCATGAAAAAAACAAAGAGCCATCAAAGACTGTGAAGCAGCTCACACGTCTATTTCCGAACAAAGTGACCATTCAGATCCCTCAGGTAAATATCTGTTTCATGTCTTCCTCTGGTTGACTTCAACTTTGGACTTGTTTAGGAATCTGTATATATTTTTTCGTTTGGAAGGATGAGAATCTACTCCTGGACTGGAAGCAACAGTTGGATCGGGATGTTGAGACTCTGAAGTCGCAAATTAATCGTGCTAACATTTGCAATGTACGTCTTTACTTTCTGCTGGAATTCAAAAAATCTTACTTCACACAAAGATATGAATCAGTACACCAAGTTTCATTGTCACTTCCGGAATCTTGAGGTTGAGTCTAATTTAACATTTGAAAGAAGACTATTTAGGATGTCGTGTTAGTTGTTTCCTTCCAGAGAAGTGCATTTCTAGAATAAAGTGGACTAATTAAATTACATAGGAATATGACTCAATTTATGAGAAATTAATCATATTGAAGGCAAAGAACTTATAGTAGTGCGGTGGTGCCAAGTAACGAATGTATTCAAAATTTGAAATATTTTGAATAGTATTGGAATGTATAGTTTATACATACATGATACATGTGCTCACACACCGTGTATCATATGTAGGCATGGATGTGTGTTTGTGTTTCTGTGATATAAACGATGGATTGTCAAAATCCTGCCATATGGCACTGCCATTACCCACCATTCTTCACTACCTATTTATGGCTGGCCATCTATAACGCACGGAAACGTCAGGAGGGCTGAGTTTCCCCATACCGGAAACGTATGCACGTTTCCAAACATGAGAAACATCAGATACGCGTGTCGGGGCTGAGTTTCAATTTTGGGGAAGTTGGAAACGCGTTTCCCCCAAAAAACAGAGTTTGAGAAATTTAGTTTGGGGCCCTTTTACATTGGCATCGCACGATCTGGATCGGAATCCCAAACAAATAAAATCTCAGAGTTTAGTAGGATTAATTGATTAAACATCTCGTCTTCGTCGGCTTCAACATCTTGGTGAGCTAGTCGCTGTCTTCAGCAATTTACGGTCACTCCAAGACTCTTAAATTGTTCCCCTTCTTCTGCAAACCGGTCTGCCGCTTTACCTTTGCTCTTCTCCGCTTCTCGCTTCTCATAGCCCTATATTTAATTGTGAATGTCTGATAGTGGATAAGTGGGCGTAGAAGTGATGATGACAGATGATGTGTATTCCACTAGTTATTGTGTATGATACTTGGCAGTTTTACAGTTTTACTTTACTCCGTATTACTAGTATTTAGGTGTATTAAAGTAGGAGTATTATATATTTATGGGCACTGTTTAGTTATTAATGTGGTCATTGTTTATATTTTGTTAATCATTAAATCATCTTTTATTGTGTCGTTCTATAATATAGATTTTTTATTTTTCTAATGGCATGTTTGTATGTATGTGTATATATAAATATATAAACATATATATAATATTTATAAAATAACCCCTATAATTTTTATATTTACGCGTTTTCCCCATGTTTCGTTTCCTCTATTTTTGAAAAATGGCGTTTCCAACGTTTCCCGTTTCTCGTTTCCCGTTTCCCGTTTCCGTGCTACTTAGCTGGCCATTATATTTCCACCTCACCATCTGCAAAGACCCCTATATTTTATAATTATACATTACACACTTGTATAGGTCAATGGATCAAGTCTTGGGAGTGGCCTCTTGTCAAAATGACTAGGGAAGCCTTGCTCCTTATACACCCTTGTGGTGGGACCCTTCCCGTGACTCTCGCCTTGTGAGGATGCCAATGTGCACCGGGCTGCCCTTAATACATTTGCACATTTGTCGTGTACTCGTGTTCTATAATTTTGAAAAACTACGTTGTCCGTTACTACTCCGTTCCACGTATCGTGGCCTAGTTTTACACTTAGAGTTTAGAATAACTCTTTAAATTTTCAGGTTTTCAACCGAATTGGGCTTGAGTGTTCTGACCTTGAAACATTACATATTAAAGATCAATCACTAACAACTGAAGGCAAGTACTTTATCTGAAATGAAAATTCTGAGGTCCTACCATCTTAGATTACTTTGTCAGGATTTACGCTTTTGACACTTCATTTGTTTGCTAAATGTGATAGATGTGGAAAAAATTATTGGCTGGGCATTGAGTCATCACTTTATGCAATCTTCTGAACCTTCTGCCAGTAACACCAAACCGGTGATCTCTAGTGACAGGTTAATTCCTGTCTTTCCGTTCACCTTCACTAAGCTTAAGATGAAATTGACATATGAAAAGAAATATCTGAATAAAACCTTTCTCGTTTTGTTTCAGCTTAAGATATGGGCTAGGCATCTTGCAGGGAGTTCAAGATGACTCTAAGAGTTCAAGAAGCTCTCTTAAGGTGATGATGACTTCTTTGATGTGTAACCTTAGTGTTTTTAATAACTCTTCTCGGTCAAATTTTCTGCTGCTTGTACGTTTTTTGATGGCATAACACAAATGTGGAATCTTCAGGATGTGGTCACTGAAAACGACTTCGAGAAACGTCTACTTGCAGATGTTATTCCATCCAGTGATATTGGAGTTACTTTTGATGACATCGGGGCCCTAGAAAATGTGAAGGATACTCTGAAAGAGTTGGTGATGTTACCTCTACAAAGACCAGAACTGTTTTGTAAAGGACAACTTACCAAGGTAATAATCTACTACTTCTGTCCTTTAATAATTACTCTCTGAGTCCCATTTTGTAAGATACTTTTCCTATTCACTTGGTCAACACAAATCACTCTTAATCTCTAACTTTATATATCAAATTTTTATCAAATTTGATTCTGGTTTTTGAGACTTTGTAAAGCTTTTAATGTAGTTTATGAATATGTAATTCTTTTTTTTTTTAAATGATTTGAGTGCGGACAGGAATCCGTTTGCTTCATCGCCGGTCAAACATCGTAAACCGTAAAGTGCCTTACAATTCGGGACGGAGGGAATATCATTTTAGTGAAGAAAATTTTATCATTTTATGGTCTCAAATAAGTGTGACATTTAACTAACAAGACAACATTATTTGCCTCTGTGCATTATTGAAGGGTTTCTACTCATATTATACTGTTACCTTGTTTTTTAGAAAATATTAAAACAACATTAGGTGCCTGTTTTTTTTATCCTTATATATATATATAAGCATTATTTGCAGCCTTTTTATTTTATCATTTTTATATATATTCATCTTTTTTTATATTATCTTTTCATAATAGCTTATCTTTTTATCTTTATTCCTTCTTTTCCTTTTGGTTGTGATATCATGTTATCATGTATCGATTCATGTTAGCCGACCCCAATATCTTTTGGGACTAAGGCTTGAATGTTGTTGTTGTTGTTGTTTGTTGTATTAAAACAACATTACCCCAGTGCCACAAAGGCTCCCACCTACGGTGGGGTATGGGGGGTCCAATGTACTCAGTCTTACCCCTGTATTAAAGCACAAAGAGATTGTTGCATAACTCTTCAATAACAACATTAAAACAACATTACCCCATTGCCTTAGACTCACTGACTGCTGCTTCATAACAAAGAAGCGCAGCGAGTTTAGTGAGCCATTTTTCTTTACAACAACAACAACATCCAAGCCTTAATCCCAAAAGAATTTGGGGTCGGCTAACATGAATCAATCTATGAGCGAGCCATTTTGCTTTATTCCATCATATTCCCAAGCCAAAAAATAGTGAGTCTTTGGCTCCATTGTTCGATGGAGTTTTTTAGAAAACATTATTGGTTTTATTTGTCTATGAAAAGTAAAAACCTTTAACGACAGTTGTTACGGAGTACAAGGAGTACTTCTCTGTTTACCCCCCTTAGGTGATCGATCATCAACATGACATTAACTTCTCTACAATTTACTTTTGCAGCCTTGCAAGGGGATATTACTTTTTGGCCCCCCAGGTACCGGTAAAACAATGCTTGCAAAAGCAGTTGCAACTGAGGCTGGTGCGAACTTTATTAACATATCAATGTCAAGTATTACCTCAAAGGTATCTATTGAAGTTTGGTTCCCTGCTTGATTAAAATACTTTTTCATTACCTCTATGTAATATTAATTTTTTTGTTACCTTGATTGCAGTGGTTTGGTGAGGGCGAGAAATACGTCAAAGCAGTTTTCACTTTAGCTAGTAAAATAGCTCCCAGTGTTGTTTTTGTGGATGAGGTTGGTAGTACTTTTTTAAATGATCAATTTCCTAGCCTGCATGTTTCCAACTAAGATTAGTCTTTACCAGTACATCCTTGCTTTAAAAAAATTAAGTTCATTTTGGTCAATGCTGAAATGACTGAAACTGATGTGTATGGTATGGTAGTTAGTGGGCTGAAAAAGCTGATTACTATGCTATAACTTATAACTTGAAAGGACATGCCATAGCATTCATCAATATGAATAAGAAGGTTGAACTCTTAGTTGAATTAATCATCCCAGACCACAGCCTGGACTCTATACCTTATTAGACCTACTGTTTGAATCTTTATACATGTTATAGTAGAGTATGTTTAGTATATCTACATATATACAAAAAATATAGTGGGTTGTTTGACTTGTTTCTCTGCAGTTCCTAATTAGTTTCTCAAATTTTTCCCCAGGTAGACAGCATGTTAGGGAGGCGAGAAAATCCTGGAGAGCATGAAGCAATGCGCAAAATGAAGAATGAGTTCATGATGAATTGGGATGGTTTGCGTACAAAGGATACGGAACGTGTCATTGTACTAGCTGCAACAAACAGACCCTTTGACCTTGATGAGGCAGTTATTAGGAGGCTTCCTCGAAGGTGAGCTAACAGACATATCTTTTTCTCTTTTGTTTAATGAGCGGGGATAAAAAGTAACGTTCAACCTGGTTCACTTGTTTTTTTTTGCAGGCTGATGGTCAACTTGCCAGATGCTCCAAATAGGGAAAAGATTTTAAGAGTGATATTGGCCAAAGAAGAGTTGAAACCTGATTTCGACTTCGAAGCAATTGCCAAAATGACCGAAGGATACTCGGGGAGTGATTTAAAGGTTGGGCACTAAGACTTCATTTTAGCTCACATGTTTGTGAATTTCAGTTCCTTGATGAGATAATTTAATATGACACTTCTCTTCTGCAGAATTTGTGTGTTACTGCAGCGCACTGCCCTATAAGGGAAATTCTCAAGAAAGAAAAGGAGGTTAGTGTCCTTGGCCCCATCAATTTATGTGTGTTGGTGCAATCATCATTAGGTTCCATTTGATTGATGATGAATTTTTCTTCAAAAGGTTTTCTGGATTTCCTGTGTTTGGGGTTTTTTGATAGACTTTTTCTCAAATCTGTTTTTTTGGAAATGACATTGTGTTATGAAAAAAATGGATTAGTTTTTCTCGAGTTAAACAATATCATATGCTCTTGAATTAATTTATCATTTTTTTAATCTTTTTTCTCCGATTTCATATGTCGATTCATGCTAGCCGGCCCCAAACTCTTTTGAGACTAAGACATGGATGTTGTTGTTGTTGTAAGCAATATAAGATACCATAAACAACTTAATTTCTAAGAAATAATTTGTATGAAATGTTGAAGATGTTGTTTTGTGTTTATAAGTTTGCTCAGGTAGTTGTGCTATAAGATACATAGTATCCCAAATATGGGTATGCATTTGATAGCTTGTCATCACTAATTAACTTTTACATGTCTCCAGGAGAAGGCCATGGCTATGGCAGAGAACAAACCATTACCTACATTGCACAACAGTTCTCATATTCGTGGCCTTAGCTTGGATGATTTCAAATTTGCGCATCAACAGGTCCACCATCTGAATTCGAGCCTCTAAACATCCCTCTTGTTTTTATTAATATACATCTTTATTTCGTTAGAAGAGAGAAAAACGTGATAAACTATAGAGAAACACATCATCATCATCATCATCATTACCCCAGTGCCGCAAACTATAGAGAAACACATAATTCAACTAAAAGTATGCAGAGTAGTAATATACTAAATGGCAGGTTTGCGCGAGCGTGTCATCGGAGTCTACAAATATGAATGAGCTGGTCCAGTGGAATGAACTGTATGGAGAAGGTGGGTCGAGGAAGACAAAGTCTCTAAGCTACTTCATGTAGATGGATTTGGAGGAGGATAACACAAATGTATAGCCTTTTGTTGTAGATTCAATTTTTGATTTATAGGTAGTCAGATTGAAGATCTGTTCAAGGGGGAGTGAGCCTTAGCATGGATATTCCATCTCAGGTCCCTTTATGTTCAGAATTTCATACTTCAGCCACTCGTGTACCATATTTTAATTTATTTTAAATAAACTATATGTTTGTTTTGACTTTTTATATTAAATATACTGTGAACAATGTATACCAATTTAACAAGCCCATCCATCCGGGCATTTTGAGTCACCATGTGATATCAAATTAAAGGAAAAAAAAAACTGAATTGAAATAAACAAATCCGCACAAGTGCTTAGTAATTGGTTCATAATAATGCACTTAAAAAATTGTTCAAATACAATAGAATGTGTTCAATGATCTCTGAAATTTATTTAAACAAACTGCAATAAGCTTTCTTTCTTGTAAATTCAGCGTTTTTATTGTATTTTTTATCCATTATATTTGATTTTTTAGATCCCTCTGACTAATTTAGAGAGATCTACGTACTAAAAGGAAATGAAATTCATTGGAGTACTAAAAGTTCCAACTTCCAAGCATACTCTTTTAACTGATGGACACAGAATTCGAGCCATATGGATGGCCTCACCAGTCATCATCCATCAAGGCTCGAGCCCGGCCTGCCAGATCCGCCCAAACCGGGCTAAAGCCCGGAATCGGTCATCCGGTCCCGGTCCGGTCTGGGCCTGCACAGTAGCGGGCTGGTCCGGTTCCTGGGCCGGTTCAAACCGGTTGGGTCCATCCCTAGACGTTATGGTCCTCAGTTGTAATTTACACTATTACTACTTTCTTCCAATCAAAGTAGCTTATAGCAAAACCTATAGAGATCTTGAAATTAGAAGATTCAAGTTCATTTAGTTCATCTCTCAATTAACTGAATTGCTGAATAGTGTCCTGCTTTGAGAAAAACCTCAACTTGACCCATATTTATTATGATAGTATATCTCAATTTCTGCATGGACTCAGCTCCGGTCCATTTAAGCCCATCTAAGATTTTAGCAAATGCCATGTGCAGATTCTGCTCTTCCAATAGTATAAATGTTCTCTTCTGAACTTATGTTGTGTGTGTTGAGTCTTTGGCTAGAAAGATTAATGGAAGAAGAGAACTCCTTATAGGAATGCTTTGAATACTTGGATCCTCAAAGTATGGAAGATATCAACTTGATCTCGTGGTAGGCAAGAATGCAAGATAGCTCCTTATAACACTTCATAGAATAAACTAATAAAGCGCTACACCTTCTACACGATTCTAAACCACTCCACATTGTATTTGAAAACTCAATGTATAAGAAGAGTTAAGGTACATTTGGTCTTGAGTCTTGACATCTTCCCCCACCTAACATGGCGATGCCCTCTATTTCATCTGAGCTTCAAACTGCTTCCGGAACTTCGACAAGTCCTCTTTGAGCTTCCATGTTGTTGGCCTGGGTAGTCTATTCCACTCAATCATATTATACTTTTGGGTGGAATGGAAAATCCATGAGTTTTCTCCTTCCTTATACTTGGTTATCCATAACAGTGGTTAGAATTCTTTTCATGGAAAATCAATTTTTCTTTTTAATGGCAAAAACCTTGTTCCATTTTGTAATATAATAGGTTCCATTCTCATTTCATTTAAAGAAAATTATAATTAAAGAATATTTCTCTGACTGGCTGCACTGTGTTCAATTTCAGATCTCCACATGTCTATTACTATTGGACTTCACATATTCTTTGATATATCAGAGTTATAACTTGTCAGCTATTCACATCTTTGCTATAGAACAGATTTTGAGACTTACCCTAAGGGCTGTCATGACACGAAACATGTATTTAGCCACTGGGATCACAACACATTCAAGTCCTTATGCCATTTCTTTAGCAAAGCATCTTAGCTCAGTAGGAGCAAGAATGTGTGGGACTTTCTGGTGTTCGCATTGTCAAGACCAGAAACAGGTACCGTCATTCTTCCTGAGAGTCGAGCATATTCGAAGTTTCTTTTCACTTCGAAAACACATTGAACACCATTAAATTGTTACCTAGTTTTTTTAACCAACTTGGTTCTCATATATGTATTTCCTTGTGCTTGCAGACCATCTCATCCATACTCCTAGTTGCTTTGTTTCCTTTATATAGTTATTGTACTTTAAGGCATTGCCACATTGGTGATGATTCTGAGATGCCGATATAGAATTATTGGAATTAAAATGTTGTGAGACCTGAAGCATTGTTTGAATGGGGAAAGATGAAGCATCCAAGTATTGGACTTTGTAGTTAGTTTGGATAAATAATATCACTTCTGGAGAATCAATTCATTGTAACAAGGGTGAGCAGGGTTAAGTAATTATTCAGAAATTAGCTCCTTTTTCCAATTCCCACTTCCCTCTTCTGTCATCTTCTTTTATGCCTGGAATGACAGCTTGCGTGAGTTCTCTTAACAGTGTCCTAATGAATATAGCCCTTAACTAATGAATATAGTACTTATGAATGACTTCCAAAATAGCAAAGGTGTTAGTATAATCATTGGCTTGTAACCTTTTCAAAATAGTTTTGAGACATCATATAGCGCTGAGCCTGCATGGAACTGACCATGATTGAACTAGACCTGCTGGCCTCTTGCATTTATCATAGTTTGTGTTAAGAATGTTAGTTGGTTAAAGCATCTTCAATGCTACCATGTGCACGGTGCACATGTAACATTAGAGATAGCCACATAAATATTAGCAAATAAATTATTTCTCATTATTTGAATGATTTTGTATAATTTTGGTAAGATTTTATCTGCAATATCAACAATAATGTCAACATATAGACGGTCTTCTTGACATTGTCAAGAAAAACTTACCAAAGTTGTACAAAATCATTCAGATAAGGATAGAAATAATTTATTTGCTAATATTTATGTGGTCATCTCTAATGCCACATGTGCACTGTGCACATTGTAACATTGGAGATGCTCTTAGGGAACTTATTTCATAACGCTAAAATTGGTACAATTGGTAACAAATTGGTGACTGAAAGAATTCCAAAAAAGAGCTCAGGATAGTGAATAACAGGACTATTGACTCTTGCTGTAGAAATTTGAAGGTGTTATTTATTGAAAACCCCAGATTTGAAATTACCCCTCAGATGTTGATCTCTCGTCAACAATTACTGCTCGTCTCTATTAATATCGGAAAATAAAACCCTATCCGTTATTGTTGATGTGTACTGTAGCCCCAAATACTTTATTTTTGTACAAAATAATTAGAATGATCTGAGTTCTAAAAATAGTGTCTTTGGAAATACTAATATTGGTGACATATTTTTGTCCGTAAAGTACATACTACATAGCAATAAAATTGTCTATTGAGGAACAGTCTTTTCCATGTGCTGCTATATGCTTATGTGTACATGTGTACAATTAATGCATTCTTAAGCGGTTGATTCTGTTGAAATTTATGAAATTCTGGCTGAATTGATTGATTCCAGTAAAATATGTACAAACAATTCTGTGTGCATGAGACAGACGAGTGTACGAAAAATGTACATCAAAAAGTGGACACCAAACATTTTTCTTCTTACAATAAAGTTGAACTGGAGTAAAGGGATTGGGAGGGGTCTATCGTTCTTGAAGGAAATCGTTTTTGATGGTCCCAGATAGGGTAAAAGTCTAGAGGGGGGGGGGGGGGGGGTGAATAGACTTTTAAATCTTTTTCGAGCTGTGAAAGTTTTCCCTCTAGATGAGTTGATCTATAGTCTTTTGAGAGATTTATAGATGCACAGCGGAAGTCTTTACCATTTATGTAATGTGTAACAACTTTCTATGATGGATGAAATCTTTGCTTAATGGTGAGCAGTTGGCTAGGCAGTTGGCTAGAAAGCAGGGAACTGCTTAGTCAACTGCTTACAAAATACTTGGAGTATGATGAAGGTGCACTCAGAATCTTTCTTAGAGTGGGAAGAGCTTTCTGATGATGTACTGAGGTGGATTGATAATCAACCTTAAATGAGAGCAGTTGTCTGACCAGTTGGGTGGAAACCAGGGAACTGCTGAGGCACCTGCTGAAGTAAAGGTGAAGGTATGGAAGGTTTGATTATATGGTGTTGCTCAGGATGATGTGGGCTTTCTGAAGATGTGCTTTGGACCAAGTAAGTAGAAGGTTTTACTTAGGCAGTGGTCTAGACAGTTGGATGATAGTGAAGGAACTGTTGAGGTACCTGCTGGGTTATCACTTTGAATCACAGAGATTATTTTGAACAGACTTCTTAAAGATAAAGATGTAAAAGTCTAGTAATGTCAAGATGTTCACAGGAAATACTTTTGTGTGAGCAGTAGGCTCAGCAGTTGGGTAGTCCTTAGGAGACTGTTGAGGTAACTGCCATGCCTTAAGTAGTATTTCCTGAAATCTTAATGAAACAGACCTTTTCGTTGTGATATTGTGAAGCTCTTTTATCTCAAAGAGAGTGAGTAATTAAGCAGTAGGATAAGCAGTTGGGTCAATTAAGACAACTGCTTAGATTTCTTTTTAGGCTTCAGACTGTGCGCCCATGCTGTACGTCTCGGTTCTCCATGCTGGGAAAATTATTGGCTCTGGTTTACCCGCTATGGTAAATCTGTTCGAACATAACAATTTCTGAGTCTAATAAGATTATATTGGTAGGATTTAAATATCCTATTAAAGGTAAATAAATTTACCTTATTGCATTTTTACTGTCCAGTAATAATATTATTAGTCTTAGAAATTTTACATTTATTTGTTCTTAGTTTGACACGTGTAATATTATATCAATGTGTCTTTTGCTGTTTGAAAATGTTTGTGTCAAATTAAATATATACCGGTAGGATTTAAATATCCTTTTTAAGGTAAAAATTACCTTATTGCATTTTGACTTTTCGGTATAATTTATTTGACACAAACATTTTGACTTTTCCTTTTTGGTCACACTTGGTTGAGATTTGGCCCAGATAGTATTTCGATCATAAATAAACATTTAATTGGTAGGATAACAAATCCTATTAAGGTACATTGAAAAATTACCTTATTTCATTTTGTGTTCCAGTTAAATAGTTTACTTATTCGAAATGTCTTAGTGTCTTCTTTTTTTGTAACAAATAAATTTAACTGGTTGGATCTACAAGAAATCCTCTTTAAGATAATAAGGATTACCTTATTGCCTTTTATGTTTTTCCAGTTATATTTATTTGTTAATTGATAATACAAATGGGACACATTCAAATAACATTTTGCTGGCACTCGGTTGAAACAAAATACAGCACGTTTGATTTCCTAATGCTACAAAAGAAGGGGGGAACATTTGAAAAGCTTTGGCATCATCAAAACCGTTTAATCAAAATCTAGGGCCTAACAATTTCCCCCTTTTGTGATGATGT